CCAGATACATTTTTAACTCATTCTTTTTACAATTTAATATCAATGCTGCCAAAATATTAAAACTTGAAATTATGCTTTATAAACAAATACTATCAGGTCCTCACCCAGCCAACTTCTCAAATTGCCCGGCCAGACCAAAAAACAAACAAGTTCAGTTCCAACCCAGTCCTCCACCAGCAACAAATCCCTGGACTAACAGAAGACAAGACTTTCCTCCGCTGACATCAAACAGTAACGAAAATATCGCTCAAACCTCCATTCAAAACGAAATTCTAAGAGAAGAATCTACCAGAACCGCAGAATCCTCCCTGTCAGACCTCTTTGACTTCTCTTCGCTAAAAACAATGTGGACAATAGTGATACAAGGACTCAAAAACATTAAAACCAAGAAATCACCTCTTGATAAAATAATCGCAGTAGTCGAAATCATTGAAAAAATAGGAAATCATCTTTAATGCTAATAAATTCAAGAACAGATGCAACATAAAAATCCTCTCTTGGAACGCTAACGGTCTTTACCATAAAAAAGATGAATTATCCAACCTCATTATTGAAATTGAACCTGACGTAATACTCATACAAGAGACTCACCTTAAACCAGCACTCAAAGTACTTTATGCTAATTATAACACCTACCGTACGGATCGTGAGACAGGAAGAGGCGGTGGCATCATCACATTTGTTAAAAGGAGCATAAAACACACAAGCGCCTGGCCCCAGCCACCACCCCAAGCTCTTATTGGACACGACTTCTGATGTCATACAGTGACGAAAAGAATTCTCTACAGCATTTCTGTGCGCCAAAATCTTGAGCTCGAGGTCATTTTAGCGCTGAAACAGGCGAAGCAATGGAATAATTTGCCCTATTTTGTAAAAAATTACAAAAATAAAAAGCAGCTTCAGAAATATATTGTTAATATACATAATATTAGAAAAAAGGTGCAATTCGATGTGCAGTCGATAACCGTTTAGCAGTATTTTGGTCATTAGACGAATATCGAAGTCATTTGACAATAAACAATTTTATAAGATATAAAAGTTAAGAAACAAAACAATAATACATAAAAAAACAGAATGATAACTCCAATTGACAAAGTCAAATAAACGATATTATAAGTATTTTACGATTTAAAAGTATCTTATCACTTTATCTTATTTTTAACCACAAATGAGGAGAAATTAATGCCTAGGATTGGAAAGTAAAAAATTAATCTGACTACGAACAATCTTGATACCAAACAATCTCTATATAGCAAGCAATAAATGAAAGGAAGGTATTTAATTATCAAACAGTTCATTTTTATAAAGAAATAACTAAATTTTACATTTATATCACTTTTAAAAACACTTTTCTGCAAAATAAACCGCTAATTCACGAAAACTGCGGCAGACATTATTTAAACAGTAAGAGTTAAGTGCTATTTCTTGACATTGCTGACGAAGCAAATCTTGTTAATGGTCTCCTTTTATATGAAATTATAAAATGCATTTCTTAAATATCAGTATAGCGCTATGAATTGCATTGAATACAGATTGCTTAGCCAAACACTATTTACGCATTATAAAGTTTTATCTATTCCATTAACATGGTTAAACAATTTATATAAAAAGTGCCGACATATTTTCTTATAGTGTTAGGTTCGTTTTAATTGCAAATATTCTGTTACATTGCACAAATTCACATTAACACAGGAGAGAACCAAATCCAAAGTAGTTATATGTTCCCCTTGACATAACTCAAACGAAACAGATAATGGAATCTTTTCAGCTTGACGTCATAAACGGCAACCAATAAGAACAGGGGTGGTGGCTGGGGCCAGGCGCTTGTATAAAACACGCTCAAATTCCTAATCCCAGCACCACTTTCGAAAGTAACACAATAGAAATTGTAATAGAACATAAAAAATTCAAAATTTCGAATACATACATCCCACCAAATAATAATCCCAGCGCACAAGAATTGATTCACCTCCTTAATTCTAATACTTCTACCATGTCGGAGGGGACTTCAACGCCAAACACCCCTGCTAGAACCGAGGACCTGCTAACAAAAAAGGAAATGACATATTTAAACTCATTCAATCAAATAATTATAACATTCATGCTCCAGACGAGCCCACCCATTACGGGTACAATAGCGCCACCACAATTGACTTCTTCATCTCAAATAACATTACTAACAGATGCAATATCTCTGTAATTTCAGCTCTGCCTTCCGACCACAAACCCCATTGTATTTGAAATCCCCATTAATACCTCCCCTCACTTGACCGAAGTATAGGAGTTACAAATTGGATCAAATACTCTGAAATTCTGAATAACTCCATACAAGGTAACCCATGCATCAACAATACAGAAGATTTAGAACACGAAGTCTCAAAATTTACCAACAGCATCAATTCTGCTTTAAAGGAAGCCACCAATGCTTTTTATGTGAACAAACCTTTCCTTTCCCTGCCTGCCGATATAAGAAATAGGATTAAAGAGAAAAAACCGGATCCGTAAAAGATGGCAAACCACCAGGGATCCACAACTCAAACACGAACTAAATTCTATGCAAAAAAATCAAAGAAGAAATCAACAGAAGAATCAAGAATTTCAAAAACCAAAAATTGGACCAAATTTACCTAAATAACCTAGCTATAGAGGACAATTCCCTATTTGACATTTCCCGCATAATTCAAGAAACCTTATAAACCTATTCCACCTAATCCATGGACCTAGTGGAACTTCATATACAGAAGAAGATAAAGCTAAATTCTTTTGCGGACTATATGGAAGATACATTCACTCTTAATCCCACTCCGTACGACAATAACCATATTGAACGGGTCAACCAGGTGGTCAATAACTTCCTTAATACCCCTGCTCCGTACAAACTTCACTTTCCTGACTACCCCAACAATCGTTGCTAACACCATCAGCGCCTTACAAACGAAGAAAGCCCCAGGGCATGATGGCATCTCGACAAAAGCACTGAACCTTCTTCCGATCAACGCTCTTACCTGCCTAACTAAGATAATCAACAACATTATCAAATTCGCTCATTTTCCTAACTCATGGAAGCAAGCTATAATAATTGTTTTTGCTAAACCTCAACAAAATCCAACTCTCCCACAGAACTATCGCCCTATCAGTTTACTTAGCCACTTGTCTAAAGTTACTGAGAAAATCCTATTTTTCCATATCCAAAAAATTCACCCTTCCATGAATTTTCTTCCAGAAGAACAATTCGGTTTTCGTAATCATCATAGCACTTGCCACCAACTTCTTAGAGTTATCAACATTATCACTGAAGGCTACAACTGCAAGCTTCCGACCGGTGCTATATTTCTCGATATCGCGAAAGCTTTTGACAGGGTATGGCATCTAGGCCTTATTTACAAACTAATCACTCTCAATTTTCCAGATCATTTTATTCGCTTAATAGCTTCTTTTCTCAGCAACAGAACATTCAGAATCAAAATCGGTACTGCTTATTCAACAACCAGAGTAATCGAAGCTGGTGTCCCACAAGGGTCGGCACTTTCCGCCGCATCTTTTTAATATTTATACACAAGACATCCCTAAAGACCCTTCTATTCATCTTGCACTCTTTGCCGATGACACCGCCATACTTTCTAAAGCCTGCACAGTGAATCGCCGTAAGAAACCAACCTCCAAAGCTATCTCATAAAACTGGAAAGATGGCTTACCCTTTGGAGGATTAAAATTAACACTGAATTAAAACCTAAGGCAATAATTTTCCGTAAAGGGAAACATGAAATACTATCCTCCAACCTCCTGAAATAATTTGATGAAGAAATAGACTGGATTAATGAAACCTAATACCTTGGAGTCACCCTTGACCAAAACTTACCTTCAGAACCCACTTCCGGTCTGTAGCACAAAAATTTAAAATCACCACAGCTACTATGCGACCTCTTCTTGGTAGAAAAAGCAACTTATCTACTACAAACAAATTAATTCTATATCGCTCCGTACTGCGCCCAGCTCTTCTTTATGCAGCACCGATCTGGGGACATGCAGATAAAACCAATATTAAACAATTACAAATTCTACAAAATAAAATTCTACGAGAAATTATCAATGCTCCTTGGTATATTCCCAACATCTATCTTCACAGAGACCTTCGAATCGAACTTATTCAAGAGTATATTAAACGATTAGCGGTCAACTTCTTTTATTCAGTACAAACCCACAGTAATAGCCTTATTAGCACTCTCAGACACTCCCGCGTCCCAGAGAAAAACATCGTTACCCTTGTGACGTCCTTCCCACATAAGAATCACAACCTTAATTGACTCATTCACGCAAAACTGACTCTGCGGTTTTACCACCCGCGGCTACATCTTATAACGACACTGAACTTGACACCCCCCTTTTTTAGCCGCCGCTAGTGCGGACCTCACTCTCTTTCATCCGCCTCCCACACTCCTTTCTCCCTTCTCTTTCTCCCCCACCCGATCTTTATCAGAAGTCGAGTAAAAAGATGTTTCTATATCTTGACACTCGGGAATAAAATACGATCTGTGTGTGTGTGGGATGTTAAAGTAATAAACCACAAATATGCAATATACTTACGTAGCGAATTATAATCACTAGGTGTGAAGTGCTTGGAACATACACGTTCTTGATGAAACAGATTTTCCGATACCAAGCACCCTCTCTTCAACTAACAGGAACGTTAGATCCAAAGCAAGATTTTCTTAGCCTACTCTTTGCATTCGGAAATTTATGGAAACTTAATTCCGAGTTAGCAAGCTATAATAAGAAGCTATAATAGAATAATTAAGCTGTAATAGAATTCCGAGAAGCAAACTATAATAATTCCATTTTCACAATATACTATAACACTTACTCCAACAAACCGATTTTTTTCTATTTAACCGGTGCTAATTAATCTCAGCGCTATTTTTGTGTCACCGATTCGCTACTATTCTACTAGCTTCAAGCATTTGTTTATAGAAGCTCACCGTAACCGAAAATTCGATTTTGAGGGTCACTGTACTGTTTACGTGATGGCCCTCTTAGCTTTGCCAAGAATTGTTAATTGTGAAATGCATCGGGCTCGAATATTGCTAACATATTTACCGAAATTTTCTAGAATGCAGTTTGCTTGTATTACTAGCAAGGAATTTAAGGATCCAAACATTAAAAAGCCTGCGCCATGGCCGTATGAAACCAAAAAGTATAGATATTGGAATATGTTTACTGATGGCACGCTGAAACGCTTTGATGAAAATACGAAACTCATTGTTGTTGATGGAAATATTGGTGCCGGAAAATCATCGTTTGCAAAGCAACTCGCTGAAGCATTTGATATGAAACTTTTTACTGAACCAAATATGGAGCCATATTTTGTATCTGCTTATGGATATGATATACGAAAGATAGACAAGTTATTACCACCATCTTACAAATGCTGTGACCTCAGTACATTTTATAAAAACCCTCATCATCCGAATGTTCCTGCTCTGCAGTTCAGAATGTTTATGCTAAGACTTGAACAGTATATTGACGCTCTAGCTCATTTGCTTAACACAGGTAATTACTTGAGGGATGTTAAGGAAAGTATCTTTCAGTTGAACCCCCCCCCCCCCCCCCGAGTTATGTAACATGCTAAAATAGTTGTCTTATATTTCCATACATTTGTATATAAATAATCAAAGTTATTGTCATTTAAATATCACAAATTTTTAGCAGGAGAAACTATTATCATACTTGAAAAGCATATATATGATATACCACTTAAATTTTTAGAAATTTTTTAACGACGAGTTTTTATTGACGAGTTTTCCAAATTTTTAGTGATTCGTTATTAGAATTTTATTAAAATTTTTTAGTTCGAGTATTTGCATTACTCGGCATTGTATGAAAATGTAGTCTGCCGTTCTTTATTAGTCTATAGGGGCAATTGTCTTTGAAGGACTATTAATTTCGTTTTGGCATTTTGCGTTGAAAACTTTAAAAACCTGTATCGCTCTTCATATCGTTGCCACCATATATTATCTCCCTGTCTAATTTAAAGAAATTAAATAATGAAGAATCTGCATAAATGTATGCATTGTAATAAAACAACCGTACCTAGAGCCACCAAAATTTGAATAAAGTAATCTTCCATAGAATATTTGCTTTAATATGAATTTAAAATTTGTTTTATTATTGATTTCAGATTTTGTAACTCTTAAACGAATTTTTGATTAAAAAAACTAAACGATTTCAAAGCGAGCAATGGCAACATTTTAAATGGAAAAAAAAAAAAAATTTTGCTGAATCTTCAGATTATGGTGACTTGGGGATTTTTTGGCGACCAAACCTGCTACAGCAACCTGCAAGTTTTTTTTTTTTTTTTTTTTTTTTTTTTTTTTTTGAGAGATGCCATTTTGTTTTCAAGAAGTAAAGGCTTTTTTGTTGTTGTTGTTGTTGTTGTTGTAAAAGTTTACAATTGGGTGCCCCTTCTTTTTTGATGGCAGGAAGGCACAATTTCAAGATGGCCGCTACACAAAACCAAAATAAAAAGTCAAAGAATTGCACAAACTCTGTGTCCATGTACACATCGATCCGTTTTCACTTAAAAAAAATCCCAGAATTGCACAAACTATGCATTGCACACTGCCTTAAATTTGTCCGTGTACACATCAATCTATTTTCGGTAAAATCCTAGTATATGGTGCAGCCTTGGCACGACTTTGAAAATTATCGCCAACACCAAAAATGATCCAAAAAACGCCTATATATATATATATATATACACACATAGTATATACACTATATACATAGTATATACTATGTTTAACTATATATTTTCTTTTAATGACCCGTTAACTACTCATCGTATACGTCCCGTTTTTACTGCTCATCATAAAGTCGCCAAAAGTAGCCAAATCCCGTGTGCACCGGATACTAGGATTAAACCCTATTTTCATTTAAATAAAATCAGGAAGCTAAAACAAAGTTAAAACTATGATGTTAATCAGAAGTGAGGTTTCATCGCCAAAATTAAAAAAAAAAAATTGTCTATAATCGAAGGGGCACCCAATTCTACACTAGAGCCTTTTTTTTTTTTTTTTTTTTACTCAACATTTTTTCCAACAATCTGCTAGCCGAATTACGCTTATGCTAGAACTTTTATGGAACAAAAGTGCTTAATCATGACGAAGATTAGGTGCGAAATTGGGAGAAAGTGCAGAAACGCCCACTGCTTCGAGCGTTTTTAAGAATTGCTCATATGCGGTATACATGTACACGTCGATTTATTTTCACTTAAAAAAAACGTCCCGGAATTGCGCAAAAATGGAATTGCACACACGCTTGACTTTATCCATGTACACATCGATCTATTTTCACTTAAAAAGTCAAAGAAAATTGACAAAAATCCAATTCTTACTCTTGTAAAAAGCACCAAACAAATAAGTGGATGATTCTACACTTTAGCAGCAAAATTGTTTCTAAGTGCTTATTAGCTAAAATCACGATCGGAATTTTCCGGAAAATGTCACATGACATGTCTCATGATTTCTCGTTTCTGTGAAATAATCTGTGATTCGAACTGTGCATTTCTCAGATCATTGCTAAAGTCCTACCTAGTAACCTTTATCACCTTACCAAAATGTCGCCAAACTACCTGTTACCATATTCCAAAGATTAGCAACATTTTTATCTCCAGCGCGTGAGACTTTGTATTGGTAATCCTAAAGATATGCACATTTCAAAATTTATTTGCGATATTGCTGTTGAACTGAATTTTATAGTTTGATTGAGTATGTAGAACATGATACAGTCAAGAGTCGTTAATCCGGACTCATCGGGACTTCGGCGATTCCGGATTATAGATCATCAGTTTAAATCTGGTAAGATGGCATGCAGAAATTATAAAATTAAAAATATGAAACCGTAATTTATGAAATAAAGAACAATTATGATCTAAAGGGTATCAAAATATGCAAAAAAAAAGCTTAATATTAATTTGTTTACTTTATTAAACATTTCTTTCAATGTAAGTTGTTTAAGTTGCTTTGTTTTATGTGATAATACTATCGCTTTTATTCTATAAACAGACATAGTTTCTTCTTCAGTTACAAAGTTCTGCTGTTCAAGTCATATAATTGCTGTGTCGAAAATACCGACTAATTTGTCAATCGAAATTTCTTTGTTTTCAATAACGTCTGTGTCACTTTCTTCACTATCGGAAGCGAATTATAATGAGGAGGAATTTGATTTAAATCATATCAAAGACGGAGTACATTGAGATGAAATACTATATTTAGTAAGGAATTATAAGCCAAATAAAATAAAAACATCTGCCCTGAAGATAAGGAAAGTGCTGACAGATCAACTTCCAATTCATTGCGCTCCGCAGCGTTCCCCCCTTTTTGGTGAAGTTTTTTATTCTCAATATTGAATCGTGTTCTTTCAGTTGAAATATCCAGGTAAATGTGGCTGTAGAAGTTGGTCATGATGCATTTATGCTTTGTTTCAGTTTCCTTTAATGATGAGAAAAGCATTGAGATGTGGAATAAAACACGAGAAAAGCTTTCATATTTTCATCTTGCATTTTCCTTTTGACTACAGTTCTAAAGAATCAGAGAAACAGCGTACATTTTTAATTTGGGAAAAAGAAATAGAACTATAATTGTTTAGTTTAAGTTAATTCTGACAGATAATTTTCAAAATAAACCTTTGCTAGTAAGTTAGTCGCGCAAACTCAAACATTTTTAAAAATTATTTAATCTTTTTTTTAGTCCAAAGGGGCTTTGTACCTGAAGGACTATTTTCGTTTTGCGATTAAATCACTATAAATGTCCGTTTCGCTTTTCAAACTGTTGCCACCATATGTTAGAATCCTGCATTATATTTGAAGAAATTAAATAATGAAAAATCTGCATAAATGTATGCCTGTTTCTCACATTGTGATAAAACAACGGTACATAGAGCCATTGAATTTTGAATGACGTAATCGTCCTACGAATATGGACATGTGGAAGACCAAATTTGAAATATGGAATTTGTTTTATTATTGATTTCATATTTTGTAAAACTTTTAACAAATTTTTGAGTAACAAATGCAACGATTTAAAAGCGAGCAATGGCAACAATCTATGGGGTAAAAGCCTTTTTATCTCCAGATCCTGAGGTTGTATATCTGAAATTCTAAAGATATGCTCAATTTAAAACTATTTAAAACTAACTATATCTAAAACTATTTTGTTGTTGAAATGAATTTTATGGTTTAAGTGCAAAGAACATGATATTTAATAAATAAAGGTAACAAACAAAAAATTTAAAAAAAAAAAACGGCCCTTTGGTCGTAATTTTAAATCTGAAATCTTCCAGATTTTTTGTCTTCCTCCTCCTTTTGAATAGAATTTGATTGTGTAGTTCCACTGTTCAAGTCCCGTAGTTGCCGTGTCGGGAATTCCGAATAACTTGTCAATCGAAATTTTTTCGTTTTCAGTAACCTTTCTGTCATTTTCTTCTCTATCTGTAACAATATTATCTGGATCTATAATCATACTACAGATTTCGTCAACCATTGATTGATGATTGGAGCATAACATGGATACATTATCTTTCATTAAAACTTTAAATATGAGCCGAATAGTTGTCTACCCTAAGAAAACTTTATGTCATCAGGTGAAACAAACGAATTCAAATTTTGCCGAGCCTCGGGTACGAAATGATTTTCAAACTAATCATACATTAACTCTTGTGTCAGTCGTGCTCTTTTATTTGCATGATATATATTGGCAAAACCTTTAAATGCTTAAGGTTGTGTATTTTTTCAATTACCAAAAGTTTATACTTGTGCATTACTGCAGCGTTTGCATGTACTAAAATTGTTAGTGTAGCTGTGGAATCTTTGACACTAGTTGATTGTGTTCAGCTGTGAAGAGACAATAGTACTTACAATGATATAAACTTGTAGCGTTAACAACAAACTAATGTGACAATGGAAATGAAACTAGATGCATTAAAAAGACTGTTCAAAGTATAAAAAAAAAATTACCATGGATTTAAGTGTTGGAGGGACTACTTTGATAGGGTGGAAAAGAAGAGGTTCGACATTGAGTCTTGGTGTGTGAAAAGAGCATGTATTTATGGTTTAAAGGAAGGGAAAAAGTATGAAAGGTGGTGAATACAAAATGGTGAGTGAAACGCTTTATTTGTGGTTCAGGCAGCAGCATCCATTCCTGGACTAATTTTACAAAAGAAAGACCTAAAATTTTATTAATTCCTATTTTGCTAGAACTTGACATAAAAAAAAAATCAACATTAATTAAATTATATGCTGTACTTTTTCATGTTCAGTATTGTGCTACAAGTGTCTAGAATAATTTACAGTTAAATATTAAAGAGTTCTAAAAACTCAACCCTTATTCTGTAAAACTCATCTTTTCGGAAACTCAACAGTCTTTCAGTCCACATTATGTCGAGTTTGCTAGATTCTACCGTATTACAGTGTTAGCTTACATGCAGGAAAAGTGTGATCTGTATTAGAAATAAGAGAAATAAACTTACGCACGCTATTTTCATGCAACCCGAAT